TATCCGTCCAGGTGGGCAAAAATGCCCGTTTCGACTGCTGTAGCCACTCCCTTACACGCTGCTTTGAGAACCCTCCACGTCGCTGAGTTCTAGTTGCCCCTCATCGCCCGGCGCGCTTCCCGACGTTTGGTAAGGGCCTGCTCCAGTGCTGCTCGCGTCCCTGGGGTCTCACACCNTGCTTCGAACTGCAATTCCCGTCGGTTGTATTGCTTCTGTTTCGGTTTAGTCCGGACTGCACGGTTGTGGGCAAGCCTGCCACCGAGGTTGACTGTGGCTACTACCATATTGTGGTCTGAGTCTGCTTTGACTGGGTGAACCGGCTGGGGGATGACGACCACGTTAGATACTCGGCCGTGATGTGCCTGCCTTATCAGGATGTAGTCAAGTCGCTTGCAATCGTTTCCTGACACACCGTTGTATGTGTGCCATATGCCGCCCTTGCGTGTCTCAAAGAACGTGTTCGTGAGAGCTAGCCTGTTTTCCGTTGCGAACTTCAACAGTAGCATGCCATTGTCGTTGAGCTCATCACGCCCGTACATTCCTATTACCCTTCCGTCCCCTCCGTCCAACATATCTCCCGTTCGCGCGTTGGCGTCCAGTAGGACATACCCACATTCTTTGGAAGGGATCCTCCCCACGAGACTGTCAAGTTTTCCCCAGAACACGCGCTTGCTGTCGGCGGTTGAAGGTTCGGTTGGAGCATACGCGGCTACGAAGTTGACCGCTCCACGGTGGCCTGCCAACAGAAACCTCATGGCCATAAGGCGTTCGTCGATAAACTCCGTAGTGAANCCCCCACACCATGGACTCCACCAGTCTCCGTGCCACAGCAGAACACCCGGAAACCCGCTGCTGCAAATTCCGTTCGACCTGCCCTCCATGTTTCCTGCAATCCTACCACCGATTCGTCTTGCCTCGCTGCCTCGTGTAGAACGCTGTAAGCTCGCCGGTATCCATTGGCCCCGTTTTCAGCCAAAGTCCGCACGTTCCAGGTTGCTACCCTAAGAAGTTGACCCTGCTGTCTCTTTCGCGCGGCGCGCGCTGCTCTCTTAGCTAGCCTACGCGCCGCCCGACCCCTCGTTTTCCTCCATCTTCCCCTCTTTTTTTGTTTTTTAACTATTTTCTTGCCAATACTGGGGCTAACGTGATAGTTACCCCGGTTCTTGCCTTGTTTCCCATAGAGTTGCCTTGTTGTCCCGGAGCGGTGTGGCCCTCCATCTCTGGACTCTCTCCTTTCCTCTCTCTGGGGCATACCCCCACGACGTGCGGTCACTCCGCCACCCTCACCGTGCTCTCTGCTGCTGCATAGCCCCGGTGTCCAAGCCGGGGCGTCAGGATCCGGTCTCATTTTGCAGCTACCAAAGCTGGCGGTTCAGGAGCTACCCCGATCTCACGACAGCAGTAACTCTCAACCGCCAAACTCAGGATCCCCCTCCAAACAGTGCTAGGGACCGTATATCCGTCGTTGCTGGGTGGTCTTTCGAGTATTTACGCTGAATCGTACCGGTACCGCTGAGAGGCACCGGTCTGTTGGTTGTGCACATGCCGGCTTTAGCGACAGCGCTCGACGATAGGCAACTGCCGTGCAGTGCTGGCGGAACAGTAAACACTGCTGTGGCACACCACATTCCATCCGCAACAGGGGCACCTCCATTACCATCGCGTGTGCGCTCCCTGCCCCTCGACGACACTTTCCCAAAGCACCATCTCCAGTGCCATCGACTCCGATGAGGACTACTGATTGTGGTGCTGTTCCTGCTGCATGCTGACCTTCACGCTCTTGTGTTTCGCTGCTGCTTGTACGTGTGTCCACGTATCTTCTGCTACCGCCGTTGCTGTGCTGCTCCTTGTGCTACAGGACCCGGCCCTTTCCACCGGCATCCGGCATCTCATCTACAACGCCGTAGGATTGGACTACACGTACCAGTCGTCCTTGACGCTGACGATACCCTTGATAAGGTGGCTCTTGTCGGAGACGGACTGGATGGATGCGGAGGCCGCCAAGCTTTGCGCTTACCTCGTCCGGCTAGAACAGGTGAGCCATCATGCGGTGGCGGCAAGCATGTAGTTTTGTTTGTTCGTTGTGAACTGCTTACGGTATCTGTGATATCAGCACATGACTTCGGCGGGGGACACGCTTGTTGCTCGTGTCCGGAATATCGTTCGATAGTTCCAGAGAAACGACTATGAAGGTCTTCCAACCGTTTGGCTTTGCGGAGACGTGTGGCTTCAAAGTCTCAACGAGGTCTCAAGAATACGATTCATTGCTATCGTCCCGACACCATGAAGTAGTGCGTACGAACAAACCGTCTCACATCTGTACTGTGATACATGAACAATGCAACTGACATGACGAAATTTGGACGACTAGATGTGGCCAAGAGCAATGGTTTCGCGATTTCATAGATGAACGCTCAAGCTTACTGTGCCGAATGTGAAATTTTGTGGCGGGCAAGGGCATCAAGTCTACATGAGCGGTTACCCTACGCTCGTTTGTCTCTTACTGACAACTACCGCCTAGAGGACCGAAGCAAACCGACATTCGTCCGTCCGTCTTGCGTATGTTACGCGTAGATTGTTGTGACGTTGAAAAAAATTGTTTTCATAGAAGGTTTGTGCCGATTATAAGTCTCTTCTATCCGCTCTTTTTGTTTGCATTCACAACGCGCATGGTTTGCGCGGCGTCGCCCTATTCCAGACCGAGTTAGCGACGATCTTGCTGGTGGCATGGGCTATTCGAGAGCCAGGGATTCTAGACCCGTCATCGTCAAGGGGCTTGGCAGCTAGCCTTCCGTTGGGGTCCCAACAAATAACGGACTCTATGGTAAGTCGTTGCATCCCTGCATGGGTGTAATGGTCGTCGGCAGAACACGCTGCAGTCCCTGACATGTAGATCTTCGTCTGTAATGGAGGCTTGTGCTTCACACCACGAAAATCTTGGGGGTGTTATCTGTGTACCCAGCACTCGGTATGCACCCTGCATCGAATTATGTCAAGCGCGGGTGTGCAGACGAGGGAAACCTCACGCAGGCCTCACGTTGAACAAGCACAACGTGAATTTGCTGTTATTTTCATCCCCATCGATTCTGGCGCCAGTTCTACACCTTTGGGTGTTTAACATGCGAAAATCGCTGACTACGGGAAAACATTGCTTGCACACAGGTGTGGGCCTTGACCGAAACGCTCAAGTCTGACTGGGCGCTTGAGATGGCCAAGTCGACCACCGTGGAGATGATCAAGTCCAGGCCGAACGGGACGGACAAAGAGTAAATCCAGCTAACAGCGCCCTAGTTTTTCCCTTGTTCTGGCCGAGGCTAAGGTACTTAGGTCTGGCCGCTGTATAGATTTTGGTGTAGGTTGTTTCTCGGGCTCACGAAAGGTGCTCAAGTTAAGAAGTTCTTTCGTTTGATTAAATGAACACGAAATTCTTCTCTCAAGTGCGGACGCAATGTGTTTTTTGTTTTGTTTGTTTTTCTCCCATCATTGGACTCTGTCGTCTGCCCCTCTGGCCCCTATCCTCGACTTCTACCAGCTAGACGACCCAACCGGGGTCACATAGGAGGGGGGGGTCGGACCCCCTCCTGCGGTTCCTGCCTGAGATATTTTTATCGCGAGAAGGGTACAGCAATCCCTTCCCTGGCGACTTAAGAAGTTGATCAAGTTCACTAACAACGAGCTTTGCAGCGCATCGCTTCCAACGGAGACCAGGATTTAATTAGCGAGAAAAAAACTCACTCTGTCGGGACTCAAACCCATGACCTGGCCCTTAGCAGGCTGCGAGGCTACCCACTAGACCACCGGGGCGACCGATGTGTGTACCACCTTGGTTTTCAAAACTAGGCGAGGGTGGTTCCGAAGACGCTGGGGGCGGTGACGTCGTACCGGTATCAGCGACATTTCTGTTGGTACCTCTTGTAGGCCGACGAGAGGACGGTACATGGGACATGGTGGGGGGAGTCGCGTACAGCCGAAGCAAACGAAAAGCGGAGATGAAGGCCACGTGCAGTGTTCTAGTATCCGCCCAGATGGAGTCAGGGTACACGGGTGTATATTACCGCAGGAGGGGGTCCAACCCCCCGCTCGTGTGTGACCCCGGTTGGGTCGTCTAGCTCGTAGAAGTGGAGGTTAGGGGCCAGAGGGGCAGACGACAGAATCCAATCATGGGAGAAAAATAAATAAATATATATTAATAACATCCTTGTATTGTTGGGCATTGCATGGCAAGGAATTGCAAGAATATTGTTGGGGACCCCACACTTGGCGCGGTACTTACTACAACTTTTTCCTTGTGGAATTGCCTAGAATCCGTGCGATCGTGTCTAGTACCGAGTAGGCTGTCAGATATACTAGGAACTAATAGTCTCGGTTGGGTCTTTGGAGGGCCTACGTTGTTGATTTGGGGGCACAGGGTATCTAATCTAAGATGGGTATGCGTGCGTGAAAGTGGTCAGCCCCCGGGCCCGCGAGAGAACTCTCGGAATGTCGAGCGTTGTGTGCAAGTAAAGCGCGGGGGTGGCTCGTGATAAGCCCCAGCTTCGATGCATCCCCATCACCTCGCTGCTGGACTCTAGAGCCCGTGGTATCGGTTGTTATTCCTGTATTTGCATCTACGGCACCTCAGGATGGGCTAGTAGCGTTACGTTATCTTTGAGGTAGCAGTCAGACAGCGACACGTCAGAAAATTGTAATTTTCTTCGAGCGGGCGAAATTATCATGAGTGTTCAAGGTCGGCTCGATGTCTGGGTCTAGACTGTGTTCGATGTTTTATGTCACATATGTTAAACATTCGTGTGGGCAAGTATGTAGAAGCGCACGGGGGAAGGTCGGCGTTGTTTAGATTCAACAGTAGGTGGTTGATGTAACCAGATCCTCCAAACGACAGGGGCGAAGCAACCGGTTTTGTTCTGTCCATCGATTAGAAGCGGAAAGAGCAGCATTCCGTGTTGAGCACGTGCGTTGTCGCGCGTGAATTGACAAACAACCTAGACCCGATGCTTACTCCCATAGAAGGCAGAAACGTTTGCCTTCTCGTTAGGGCCAAGACAAACTGCGATACACGAAGGGACCAACGGCCAAAAACATGAGCGAACATCGCCAATGGCCCAACCCAATAGTAACCAACCCAACAAACTAGACTAACCACTGAAGGATGGGGCTCGACCTACTGTACCCAGTATACTCCACACATCCGCGAGGGCCTGGTAGTTTGCGCACGCCCCGGCTCCGGCGAGTCTTACTTTCACGCCCATCTTGGTGGCTAAGGTTCCATTATTTTGACGGCAGGAACCTTGCCTCCCTTCACAACACCGCAGCGGATGATCGTTGTCACTAGGGCCATTCCTCCACCAACCGTCAACGTGCCCCCTCCTATTATGACGACCCCGAACCCACTGTCCTGCACGACGAGCCGAAGGACAATGAAGAATACGAGCGCCCCCACCATCAAACATATGACGGCGGTAAAACCTGGACCAACATCGCCGGGACGTGACGGCAATCGAATTCTTGCCAGTGACCTCAGCACCGCCAGCTAAACTGCCAACAAAAACAGAGCGCAAGTTATTGGCCCAAGCACCCAGAGCAGGTACATCAGTGGGCGGCAGAAAAGCAACCCCAACATTGGGGTGAGGAACAACGCGACTTCGAACAGGAAAACAGAGGACTGAACGCGTAGTTACGCATGAACGAGCAGACGCTGTTGTTGCAGCGCTCATCGCGCTGAACAAACGCTTCCCACGGGTCCACGAATTCCTCATCCCGCTTGACGGAAAAAGAGGAGGAGAAAGGTGGGAACATTGCAGGTGTCGGGCTATCATCCACGTCGATATTCCCGTCAGCTTCGACACGACCATCTTGTCGAGTGTCAAATTGTTGAATATTGTGATACTCCCTTCTCTCCACCCCGATGAAGCGGGCGACTCTACTCCATATGCCGGCTCCGACGGATGGGGCGGCTCCGACGGATGGGGCGCCTCCTCGACCCTGGCGCTCGTTGGAGTCGTGTCCAGAAGTAGGAAGGCTGCTTGTTTCAAGTGTAACCGCGCTCGTACTGTTAATCGCCACCACTCTGTGGGGAAAATCGTCCATCGAGGTCGCCGACGAGGCGCCATCATTCACCGCGCCAAGCACCAATCCCGGAATTTCCGCCGGCACATCCACCGGTGATCTCCAGGCCAAGATGAAGCTGGATGTGCCGCTGTTGCCTTGACCTCGAACCTAATACTGGCAGTGTAGTGCTGGGGAAAATTCACCAACAGGACTTGAGTGTCGCAAATGTGACTCCTGCAAGGCTGACGCTGAGGTCGAAGCAAAGGCTGTTCTTCCACGGCTGCCGGAACGTCATCCTGAATATGTGAAAACAGATATAATTTTATTTTTGTCAAAAATGGATGTGTCGCTAGTCTATACGATATGAGGCATTCGTTTCAAGTTGAGGGAAACCTTGTCGGGGAATCGTGATACCCAAATAATATTTTCTCATCTGTTATACTGTGGGCGGCAATGTTTCCACGATGGTGATGTCGCCGAACCTGATATAGGTGCCATTGGATCCAAGCCCTAGCCCTAGCCCTTGCCCCTTCGTCGCGATTGGAAGCTGAAGCCGCTCGCAGCGACTTGGGCGGGGCATCCATGACGAACAGGTACATTTGGTTGGGGTGCGGTCGCCGAACTTGCCGTACACAGTCCCCATGCACGCTCCAGCGGGTAGAACATCTGACCCGGCGGTTGAAAAAAAGCACACACAAGAAGCGTCAGAACACCCGCCCAAAGGAAAAATCAAAGGGAAACATACCAACACCAGGCACTACGCACCAGGGCATGGGAGTAACGGAGAAAACAGGACAAGGAGGCGGAAGATGGGCAGACAGCCAGACGTACAAAAACAAAGGCAACAGCAATACCGAGATCAAGGTACCCAACACAGCAGAGTAGGCAGGGAGGTCATGAAAAAACGAAACACAGAAACACAGCACAGAGGCCGAAGGCAATACAAAGGACATACATCAAGGAGTATAGCATACCGCAGGGAGGGAAACAGGGCGCAACAGCATCAGCCGGGTACATAGTTCGCCACAAGTGCTTCCTCGGCCGCCCTACTCGCTTCTGCAGCAGTGCCCGGTCGCCGTTTCTTCCCCCCCACCGCCGCTTCCCCGACTCGCATTCTCTTCGGTCCTGAGATGGTCGTACTCTCTGCTTCTGCTTCCCTCGCGCGCTGGCGCTTCGCGGACGCTTCCGCCTCCTGCCTGTGCCATTTCCTCATGAGCCATGCCGCCCCGTCCTCCACCTTGTTGTACCACACCTCCGGGCCCTTGGCGCTCTCTTTCCATGTCCCCTCTTCCTTTTCGTCTCCCATGTTGAAGGCCACGAGGTCCTCTCCTAGACGAGACAACCAGTCGCTCTCCTGCCCGCCCCGGTATCCCACGCCCCCC